TGTTTTACCCGCTGCTGTTTCACCCGCTGTGCTGGCGCTGTATGAAAAGTGAACCGTGCTGAAGCTGCAGTGTGTCTCTGTCTCTGTCTCTGTGTCTCAGATGTCTGGAGGAGCCGAGGACGAGAAGGAGAGCGATCACCTCATCATTAAGAGACAGCTGCGGTCCAAGACCTGCAGGAAGTGACGTCATCATCACGGGACAGTACTCCGCTGTAAGAGCCGGTTTTCAGGCGGCATTAAAACGTCTCCGACACTTTGAGAATAAAACTTTTCTCTTCAGCGCATCTGAAGAAGAGTTTGATTTTAATCCGTGTACAGTTTGATTTTTAGTTTGTGTTGTTTTTTTATAGCTGGGGTCAATAAAGAGCTGAGACGATGTTTTCACTTCCTGAAGAATAAAACTGATTCCCAGCTTCTGTCTGACGAACGCTCGTCTGTCTGCTTCAGTTCACTGCTGGGAACTCTTCTACGGAGGCTCGGAAGGTCCAAACAGTCAGAAACACAAATACTTCTGTTTGGGTATTCAAAATAAAAGCCTCACATGAATGAAAACCGTAAAGAAAAACACACATATAATTAAAATGTGTGTTTTAAAAGTTTAAATAAAGTCTGTAGAATTACACCAGGTTTAAAATCCAAATGAAACTTTATTTAAACAAACAGAAATACAGCTTGTTTATATAAAATATATTAAAATGATCCCAGTGAGTTGTTTCACATGTTCAGGCCTCCGTATTCCTGCTCACACTTTAAACATAAAGATATAAATGTGAGTTTTGTTGTTTAAGGTTTACATCTTCAGTGAGCTAATTAGCAACATTCAGATGTAAATGTCGAGCTAACTACTTTCAGATTAACTATCTTTATCCTTGAATTACACCTGACAACTGCTGTCAGAAAAACACTCAAATAAAAAGATCAATACTAGCTAACATTAGCTGTCAGTTCGCTAACTTTAACTAACTTAAGCTGAAACTTTATAAATGTCTCTTTTATCTTTTAAGCAGCTTCATAATGTGTTTTATCAACGTAGATTAGCCTAGCACGTAGCATCTCTAAGTACAGGAAAGGAGGAAGTTGACGAGGTTTCCTCAACTGTGATTGGAGCACGAAGCAAAAGTGTCCAAACCTCAGAAGGATTAAAAACACATTAAAATTCTTCAAACAGCAACGTGACTTTTTTTTTTTACTTTTACAGGAAGATTTTTTGATATTTACTGGATGTTTAAGTGAACCTGAATACAAACACGTTTTTAACTCAGATACATTATAACAGGCTGCTGACCAGTGTGTTAATCAATACCTCCAGTAACTGACTGACAGATCAATAACTGACTGAGCAGCAGCCTCCGTTACAGACACTGAACATAAAACATGTTTGATTTCTTTAACGTTTGTTGTTGTTTTTTATAATTAATATACACATCTTTGTTTTCTGGGTGTAAACACAATTAATTCAGTTAATTAAGACAAAGCTATTTTTTATTTACTACAGCACAGTTAACACAAGATAAAATACATATAAAACGTATTATATTTTTACTTTATTTCCTTGATTTGTTTTTATTTTGGCATTTTAAATCTTCCGTAGACCACAGCTCCACGGTCTTCAGAGGATCAATGTTGATTTAATTAATCAGTAATTAGTTTCCTTTTTCTGACTGAAGCAGTTAATTAACAAGCCTCTGAAACGCTGCAGCTAACTATTATTTTCTCAATCAATCAATCATTTGAGGTATAAAATTGTAACAATTAAGAAAAATGCCCATCACAGTGAGTCAAGATATTCAGTTCACTGTGAAATTAAACACAGAAAAACATAAAATATTCACATTTTCAGTTGAAACTTTTGGCACAAATAACGATTGATCAATTATAAAAACAGATTACAATTAATATTCTGTTGATCAATTAATCGACTAATCATTTCAGCTTCACTTCCTAAGTCCCGCCCCGTTAGATAAACACGAGCTAACTCATTAGATAATCTACATTCAGTGTTAACTAATGTTAGCTAAATGCTATGCTACATCGATTGTAAGTTAGCTAATTGGTAAAAGTTCGTCGTTAGCTTTTAACTTTATCAAACTGACGATTAATTAACTAAATCGTTAGATAGCTAAAAACCATCTGATAGTTAACGTTAGCAACACGCTAAGATAAAGATAAAAAATAACTGCTATCCGTCATCAGCTCACTAACATTAGCTAACATAAGATGTGACTATTTGTTTCTTTTATCTTTTAAACATTTTCAAAATGTGGTTGTCTTTTCAACATAGATTAGCTTAGCATGTAGCATATAGCAGTAATTTGACCGAGGAGTACTCAACTGGAGCACGGTGCAAAAAGGGGCGGGGCTTAGGAAGAGTCTGTTTTGGTATTGAACAGTTGATTCCCTGAATAAAGGCACTAAAGAGCAGCTTCACTGAAATCCACTGATATTAAATTATATTTAATTATATTTACAGCCGCTTTATTAAACAGCTGATTCATTCACACTGTAGCTCGACCAGTGAGCGACTCAGTTTCAGCTCTTAAACTGAAAGTTCACTTCCTGTTTGAGAACACGAGCAGCCGTCTGTATAATCCCGGATGTCCGTCGCTGTCATGTGACCGAGCTGACGACGAGCCTTAAAACAAACAATTCTCCAGACAGGAAGTTTGGCCTTCTCTCCCGTCGCTACAAAATAAAAGCACAGAGTTTGTCACAGTGTTGATTCCACTGGCCTTCAGCAGACTCTGCCTCGGCCAATCACAGCCCTCGATTGGTTGCTCCCTCTGAGGCTACGAGGCGGCGGTCTGACTGACGGCCTCCTTGTTGAAAGCGATGAAGCACTCGGATTGGTTGGACAGGATGGCGGGGAGGGGTTTGCACTTGGCGTCCTTGGCGACGGCGGACAGCCGACGGCGGCAACTCCGTATCCCAAAGACGGTGGAGAGGACGAGGGAGCTGGCCAGCATGGCGGCACCACTGAGGAAGAAGGTGCCCGTGTAACTTCCTGTGACGTCGACCAGCCAACCTGCAGGAGGAGAAACCGTCGAGTTATTTAACCACTAAACATTTAATTTTGTTCCTTCTCTTGGACTTGTTGCTGTTCCTCACCTCCGATTGGCGGGCTGATGAGGTAGGGGATGGCGTGGAGGAAGTAGACCACGCCCAGCGCCGATGACAGGTACGGAGCTCCCACCAGGTCCGACGTCACCACGGGGATCAGCGCCACATAAGCGCCGTCAAAGTACCCGTAGAGGACGCCGAAGGGCACGAGGAGCGGGAAGGACCGAAGCAGCGGCACGAGGAGGCAGCAGAGACCCTCCATCCCCACCGAGAAGACGTAACACGCCAGACGGTACGGCTTCAAACACCTGAGAGACAAAACACCTTTATGAACAAGCTCACTTGGTAGCGGCGGCGTACACCTGGACAGGTAATCACAGGTAATCACAGGAGCTGCCATCAGCAGCCGGACGTTGAGATACAGTCCAACAAAAAGCCGCTCTCACTCACCTGCGGTCCGTCAGCCAGCCGAAGGTGATGTTGCCCACGATGTCGATGACTCCCAGGATGGACATGAGGAAGGCGGCCTGCTGGTGGCAGACCCCGACACTCAGAGCGTAGGGCACCAGGTAGACGAAGGGGAGGCTGCAGCCGCTGGCCAGAAACAGGAAGGACACGGCAAGACCCAGAAAGTCCGGCAGCAGCAGGAACCGGTACTCCTTACTGGACAGGAAGCCGGAGCCGAAGCACCGCCTCCTTTGCAGCTGCGATGACAAAAGGCTGTCCTCTGATTCTTTGGATAGTTTTACTGCGAGCTCGGCGTCCTCACTAAGCTTCTCGTCTCCGTCCTCTTCCTTCGCCTCGTCTTCGTCCTGCTGCAGCGGGATCGGTCGGAGCAGCGCCCCGCACACGCAGAGGTTGGCGACGAAGGCGCTGAGGACGAGCAGCGCCCCCCTCCACGAGTACACCTCGATGAGCAGCTGCACCAGCGGCGCCAACACGAAGGTGCCGATCCCACTGCCCGACATGGCGATCCCGTACGCCAACGCCTTCCGCCGCTGGAAGTAACAGCCGACCATGGCGATGGCCGGGGTGTAACACAGAGCGAAGCCCAGACCTGGACAGGTAGAAATATAGAAGTCGGGACATTTTATAGAAATCTGGGCATCTTATAGAAATTGGGACATTTTATTTAAATCGGGACTTTCTGGTGACCTGTGAGGACTCCCATGTTGAGGTAGAGGAGTTCCAGACTGGTGCTGAAGGAGCTGAGGAGCAGTCCACAGGAGGAGAGGAGTCCACCGAGCATCACAGCCACCCGGCAGGACCAACGGTTCCCAACCAGGCTGCCAACAGGAGCTACAGACAGAGAGAGACAGACAGGGTCAGAGAG